AGTTTTAATAATTCAAATGTGGTCATGCTGGAAAGTTAACGTTTTCTTGGAGGTGCGGTTTGACAGCTGTTCCCTGCTTGCTACGGCAGATGGGTAACAATTCCTTCTGAAACAGGCACATTTTTGTAGTAGTAAGGGGAGCAATGTGGGTTTTTTTCTTTTTTGACCTCTTTTTTTCCTCTCTGCTGTGCGTGCTACATTTTAATAGTACTAAGTACTTTCTCTGTCCTTGTATGGGGTGGGTGAACTCTTGTGGTAAATCCCTCTGAAATGAATCTGTTTGCTTTGTAGATGGACTGCATTTAATCAGGGATGCCAACTCTTCTCTTAAAAGGGAGCCTAGGACATGTCTAGAATCTGCTTTTCGTGAAGCCTGTGGTGGAAAAATTTCTCTCCACGGGTTCCATAAATTCTTTTAACCACAGATAAGTGAGCTGAAATGGTGAAAAAGAGATTGTAAACATTGCTGTAAAATGGCACTTCTAAATTAGGTTCCACCCTCCTCCTTTCAGGGATATTTTTCCACTGTTTCAGTCTTGAAATCACTATGGGAGACAAACTGTTGCACTGACTTAAAGCCGCCTGCAAACAGAACAATATGTGATTGATTTAATGTGGATTTGAGCTAGGAGGCAGTGTTTCTTTATTGTGGAGATACTGATGGCAGTTTTTGCTAGAACACACTTTACTCAGGGTAGAGTAAAGTTATGAAAGGTTTTCTGAAGACTGGGTTACTTCATTTTCAGGAAGAGATAAAGTAGGTAAAACACTGCACATCCTGTGCTCCCAAACAAAAGCAGTTTTTATCTTTGATAGTTGTCAGATAGTTTGCCTAGGCGTAACTCAGCATAACTTTTTATGGACTTAAAATTGCTTACTAGCTGTTAAATGCTGCTGTGGCTTGTTTGTTCTGTTTTAAACCAGATTTTTCAACCATGCAAAAGAGGCTTCTGTGAAGGGAAGAAAAATAACTTTTTTTTTTTTTCTGTTGCTGATAGTTACCATGAATGTCTTCTGAGTATGGAATGGAAACCGTTGCATCTGCTTCATCCTCAGTGCCATATATTATCATGAAGAGGCTGATACTCCATTTTTGTAACAGAAATGCTAGTAGAAAAGTGGATTTTGTACAGTTTTGGCTGTTAGTGTCACATGCTGGATTCTGGCTATCTTAGCTTGCATCCCTACTCTGAGTCTGCAACAGTTTGTTACATGCAATGGACTGTCCCGATGCTCACAGAACAAAAAGAAGTTATTTTTCCCAGTCATTCCTACCCCTTAGAGTGACTTGAGTGGTGTTCTTTTATTCCCTTCAAAAGTATTTAAGGATACATCTTTTGTTTTGCTTTGTCTTGGACACTACAGGAAAGATAACTAAAACGTGTTTTAGTTGGGTTGTGTCATTATTGTTTCATCTGAAGACTATTTCGCTTTGTTTCTCTCTCCCTTGCCGTCCCCTTTTCTTCTTTCTTTTTTTTTCTTTTTTTTTTTTTTAATTGCTTGCTTTTGGTTTATTCCACTTCATGCAAAGCTGTACTCTGTTAGCGTGTCTGCCATGCCTCCTACCTGTGGGAGCAGCAGTCCCTGTACCTGGTCTCTCTTGTAAGGAGGAAGGTGGAGAGTTCTCTCCTTCCCAAATCCAGTGCGGGGGAACATGGGAGGGAGGGAAAGACTTTAAAGAAGAGATGTTTCTGAGCATGGTGTCTGTGCTGTCACTGTTTGCCTTGTCAGAGAAGGTGAGAGGCAGCGTGCTGTGTGCGGTGAATGTTTTCGGTTTTTAAGCGCTGTATTTGGGCGCAAGAGCAAACACACTTATTCTATAGAGTGCAATTTAAAAAGTCCTAATGAGTCAAAGGAAATACATATTTTCCTTTCACTTCTTATATTACAATGGAAAAGGCTGCTTACCCTGCTTGAGTAAGTTCTTGAAAACAGTGGTTTTTTACAGACTTATCATTTTTGGCTTCATCTGGTAGTAAAATTAGACTTGCAATAAACATTTGACACTTGTCTGTGGCCATCCATTTCATGTGAGCGTTTTTCTTGCAGTTGTTGGACGTCAGATTAGACATGGTATCAGTGAATATTTCCCCCTCCCCTTTAGCTCAAGGCATAATACCTGACTTCCAAATATAGAAGATCCTGTGCTGAAAGGGGAAAAGGTCCCTTCGACAGCCTGTGAGGAGCCACCTGAGAGGCTTTATTGAAAGACTGCTGGGTGTGCCCAGTCCTGGGGATTTCTGGGGTGCTGTCTTGGCCACCTCCTGCACATCTGTTTGCAAGATAGCAGAGTTGTAATTGGCAATGTATGTTTTCAGTTGCATAGATGGTAAGAATGATTGATGCTTGAAGTATATTTTATAGCAGGTATTTTAGATATGTTTTTGTACATGTTTTGATAACTTCCTTTTTCTTTTCTAGGCCTCCAGTAGCGCAGGGAATCTGGGTGTGCTTATTCCTGTTATTGCTGTGGTGAGTGTCTGATGATTGGGTTGTTGCAAACAGAATCATTTTTCTCATGTATATCAAATAGCGGTGCTATTTCATGGTCAAATGGTTTGATTAACAACTAGTGCAGAAGTAAGCATCCAAGAGAAATATAGTAGTATTGTAAAATATTATTTCTTGCTGTAAAACGGGGGGAAACAGTTGTTTAATAATGACATATCTCTTAAAATAATTAATCTTTTGTGATTGAGAGTTAGATTGTAGCTAGTCGTGAATTCAAGAGATTCATGAGCTAAATAATACCACAGGAGATATTTCTTTGAATAGCGTTTGGCGTGCAGTGTAATACACGGCACATATCTGTGGCCTGAGGAAAAAGTTAAAAATGAAAGTAAGCAGAAACAGAGTTAAAAATAAATCTTAGTTTGGCGGCACAGTGAATTCTGCTTCTTAAAAGGAAAAAAAAAAAATCTTTGAGAAAGGAGGGAGGAAGTGTCCTGTATCTTCTGAAACTAGAATTGGCTGTCATACTGAAAGCATTTTGAGAAATGTGCAAGGACGCTGATGTCAATTCCAGACTTATATGTTTTGATGTATATCTGGTTTTGGTCTTGGATGACAACTTTTTCTGAGGGGAAAAACATATTTTAACAAAGTGTAACTACTAATTCCATCAAAAATAGGTGTGCAACCATTCTATATCTCCAACAGAAAATTTGATACATCCAAGCTGGGTTTCCAAGTCACCAGCATTGGTTGCCTAACTGCTGTAGCCTCTACAAAAAGCATCACATCTGAAAGATCCATAGACAAACTTATACTTGCTGGAGGGCAAAAAGCATCGTGTTGCTTTCTCCCCTGCTGAAGCTGAATTCTTCTGCAGAACTTTTCCTGCACAGCTAGTGGGACAAAAGGGGAAAATGTATTACATACTTGTAGTAGGCATGCCTATTTATAACTTGCTCATACTGCACATCTATTAAGAAGCAGAAAAAGATAATTCATTTCATGCTCTGCCCTCGGAAACCTTTTTACTGAAACTTTTCAAAGAGAAGAGCCTATAATTAGCACCAGTTAAAGATCAGAGAACTGTTCCTTTCCTTCCCCTGTCTCTTCCAGTAGTTGCCAACATAAGCTCTTCCTGAATTCACCAGTGCTCACAAGGGCCAGATCATAGCTTTATAGAAATGTGCTTGTAAATGTTTTGCATGGCTGTTATTCAATAGCTTCTCCATTTTTGCATGAACTAGCTAGTCCCACGTTCAGAGGTGTGTTCTAGTGAGTGGTATTTTTCAGCTGTCATTAATGCCAGCACTGATTGAAAGCAGGATCGTTTGTTGGATATTGAGGAAAGATCAGTGCTTGTTAAGAGACTTAATGTAAAAGCTGTGGAAGTACTTTTCTGTTTTGGATTTTTATTGAGGAGATATTTGTTCTGAACAGCAGGTGATAACTGCACTTTTCTTAACCAATGTGACCTTTAAATGGAGTCAGATAGTGCCCGAATCTGAAGCAAAAGTTAATGGTTACATTATGGTTGTTGAAGCAAATATTTGACTTTCTTGCACAATGTATGAAGATCATGAGTTTTGAGTAGTCGCTGATTTGCTTTTCTGCTTGACCTCTTTCACTTGAATAATTCCTGTTACTTAGGTCTCCAAACCCCCATATTTCAGATGCTCCAGCTCATTTAATCATTGATAAACTAATTAAATCTCGGACATGAATATTTAATCTTTTGACTATGCTTTCCTTTTTGAGTATAGATAAAACAATAAAATGTGTGTGTAAATGTTAATTATTTCTCTGGAGAAGAGAAGACTGCAGGGAGACTGTATTGCAGCCCTTCAGTAGTTAAAGGGGGCCTGTAGGAAAGATGAAGACAATCTTTTTAGCAAGGCCTGTTGTGACAGGACAAGGGGTAATGGTTTTAGCCTAAAGGAGGGTAGATTTAGACTGGATATAAGGAAGAAATTTTTTACCATAAGGGTGATGAAACACTGGAGCACATTGCCCAGAGAAGTAGTGGAGGCCCCATCCCTGGAAGCATTCAAGGTCAGGTTGGATGGAGCTCTGAGCAACCTGATCTGGTTAAAGATGTCCCTGCTCACTGCAGGGGGGGTGGGCTAGATGACCTCTAAAGGTCCCTTCCAACCCAAAGCATTCTATGATTCCATGATCTTTATATAGATTACCTGGTTGGCCTAACTGTGATACCAATTGTATTGATGGAGATGAGAGAACTGTATTTTAACCATACAAGTTAGGTTGGGGAGAAGTAGTGGATTCATCAGTATCTCATTCCTCCAAGACATTTTTGTTTTCTCTTACACGGCACACAGGTTCATAAGGTTCATGGTATGTAAGGTTGCTGAATGTTAAATGATGCCAGCAAAGAAAGAATGTAGACACCTACTCTTTTTCAAGTTAGATTATGTAAAATACCCAGGAGGGACTTAGGCTTCTAAGACTGGTCAGGTATTCAGGATTCCCTTATTCCTATTTATTGTAAATAAGCATCCTAGCATACATTTAGAGCTGAACTTCAAGAATCCAGATAGTCTAAATATTTTATTGATTACATTTTATACACTGAAGCAGAACACAAAGTGTAAGTTACTTTGTGATTTATTTTTTTAATACACTTGTATCAATACATGCCACTAACCATTTTAAATTGCAGTCAAATTATCTACTGTCCATTCATGTGAAACTACCTGTAGATAATATATTTTCTTTTGATACCAGTGGCTTTTATATTAGCTAATATGACAAAAAAATTTCCTTTATGATACTAGTATATTAACGTATAATTATACAGCCTGTGTATAACAGCGTATTGGAGGTCTTCTCTGCTTTTAAGACTTGGCTGGGTTGACAACTCTACCCATGAACAGAAGGCAACTGGTACGATGTTCATAGATCAGAAACAAAAAGGGACGGTCAATAACAAAGCGAATCTGAGTAGAAAGAGGCATGAACCCGACGTTGGTTATTGCTCCAGCCTCTGTGCCTTCCTCATTCACAGTTATTGTGCCTTGATGATTGAACTGTTTAAACAAACAAAAAAGAAATTGAGGATCTCATAAGAATGCTCAAATGATGTGCTCTGAGCCTTCCCCCCCTCCATGTCCCACACGTGGCTCCCTCATGGCACTCTTGCTGGTAACTCCTATGCAGCAGCAGTCCTTTGGGTTTTGTTTCTGAATAAGCCTGTTCCTGACCGACCGCAACACTTTCAGTGCCTTTGACATCTGATTACACATCTTACTCGTTATAGGAATAGACAAGGACATGCAGAGAAACCCACATCCCTCCTATGTCCTCCAGGAAAGATGAGAAAAAATATTGGTTTAGCTTAATGGGAATTATTTTTACTGTGTTGTCATGTTTTGATATAGGTGATGTAGTTTAAGCAGAAAGGAAATGAGGAGTGCATACCCTGTCAATGGTGACTTTCTCATCTGATATACCAGAGTAGTCGCCTTTTTCATTGAACAGTTCTTCTATTCCCATGGATCTCAGATAACCAATCAAGTTATAACTCTTCTCCAGCTTAAATTTAGGCAGAACCACTTCTCTTGTTCTAGTAAAAATAAAAACAAAAATGAAAAATCATTGACGAGATACATATTTTTGCATGACTTCTTTGCTTTACATATCTGTTGGGGTTTGAATTTTTCGCTGTCTTCAGTAAGCAGGACAGAAATATACAGGACTATTTACTGTACTTTTACTTTCAAAACTTGGGCACCATTACTTTTAAGCTGTGTTTTAAAAAAAATTAATTCACTTCCCAAAACTGTTAGTTTGTCAATTTAATATTTCACTTATGATGATTTACAGTATTTATGTGTATGAGTCATATGGCTTTGAGCAGTTCAGTACATGGTTGGATATGCTTGTAATAAATATTGAACTGTCAGATTTTCTGTAGTACTAAACTGGAGATTTGTCACTTACTGTGTGCAGTAGAAATAGGCTGGCTTCCTGAACAGCACATCAGATCAGCTCTCTTTACCTTTTTATCGAGTCAGAAGACAGATCCCACCTAGTCTGTCATCTTGCACAAGAGGGCTATATAGTTTTTTCTCTCCCGTAAATGTGATGTCCATTGTTGATTACTGAATGTGTGCCTTTACACAACAGGTATGTTGAAATGCATAGTGCAAAATGAGCATAGGCTGCTTTCCATGAGACTATTCTGCACAAATAACCTGTTATTATCATACCCCTGCTTTTCCTCCTCGTTGTAAACTTTGTCAGTAAGAACTTTTTCTTTAAATCTGAAACATTAAATATTTAATAGAATTTTGGAAGTCTATTAGAATTTTCCACCTCAGTCATCCTTCATTTCTTGACAGCATTTAAGTTTTGAGAGATCACTAGTCCTGATTTTTAATTTAATAAATCCATCTTTTTTGGGTTTTTGTTTAAGGTTTAAAGTTTTTAATCAAAATGTCGTATGTTATCTTCTGTGCTCTTTACTTACCCTTGTCAATCTCATCAAGAAAATACATGAAGACTTTAACAATATGTACTTTTCAGCAAATACCTGTTAGTCATGCTTTTCTGCCATTTTTCCACCACGTGAGGTGTTATCTGCTTTTCTAGTGCTTTCATGCCAGAGAGTTTGTGTGGAAGTACAATCAGCATACTGATGTTCCCCACGAACGGGAGCTGGATCACACCACAATCTAGCTCAGGGTCTGCGGCAGCGAGGAAGTTCCCTTTGGTCTGCATCATAGGAACCTTTATTGTTTGCTTCTCATTCAGTCGGAAACTTCTCTTCATTGTCATTTCCACTGGAAACTTATTCTCCCAAGTTCCTGTTAATACAATGCAGAAGACAGATAAACAAAAAAACCCAAGATCTTTGTTTAATAAAATATTCCCAGGATAACAGTTTACATTAAACTTTAATTCATGTGAATAAAGAATACTGTAGGAGACTGTTGATTTCAGTTAAGCCTGAATAAGAAGACAAGTTTTAAAGTGACTTTAAAATTCCTGGCTTTCTAACTTAACATTTATCAGATTTGGGTGCTCTGAATTACACAAGCCGGTAAACACAAACTGGAGATCTGAAAGAGTTTGGTGTGTACTATTTTTTCTGCAAGGAACTTAGAAATTACAAAGTTTAAACAGATGCAAAATACTTGACAGGGCTTGTGCGTAGTGGAACAACCGACAGAGCTGTACTTTCCGAGACATTTGATACTTGAAACCAGTACTGAAGCAGACTGCTTCAAGCATGTTATTGGTACATCAAGCTAAGTAATGGCAGTTTTAATTCTGCATAAAGTTTTAAGAGATATTACGCTGAAGGCATTACCTTCACTTAATCCCTTCAAGGCAATTAACTATCATAACACATCCTGAAAAGTTTGTGTGTTGGCTGATTAGTTCTATGACCCAAACTGATGTGATTTCAGCAGACTTAAAAGAGCCTGTCATCTGACAGGTTTATGCCCAAAGAATGCAATTCAACATGTTTTGCAGCCCAGAAAGCTTTGCCATCAGGGTCTCAGTCTTTCTATGTGAAGATTCTTTGGGTACTCCAAATATTTATTCACTGTGTAAAAGAAGGTGCTTTTTTAGAGTGGTGTTCCTATTGATCTCTTCAGAACCGTGGCTCTGGAAAAAACATTATTTCTTTCTTAATGGGCAGACAAAGCTAGAATCTGATAGTGGAAATAGGGTTACTGGTATTTCCTGTTAAAACTATGGATTTTAGGTCACCATTGGCAAGCAAGTACATGGGAAGTGTGACTGCAACTGTGTGGAGAGTTAATTGGTAACCTTTTTTTAAAAGGTTGCAAGTGATTCTGAGATCCTCAGTCTGACTGCCAAGCTGACTGTGAAGTAACAGAAAAAGCCTTAGGTCCAACTTTCATTCATATGTCGGGCTGATGGGGAGCAGTTTGACAAGTGATCAGACTGGTTAATATTCTGAAGGGAATGGGACAGAAAATGGATTATGCTGTTCCCAAACAAATTGTCTCACTTCTCAGGAAAACCCAACATCTGGCTGTTCTTCGGGGAGCAGAATAGGTCTCCAGCTAGCTAATGACATGAAGCTGCTGTGGGCCAGCGCAGCTTCAGCAGCACAGTCATCACCTGAGGAATGGGGAACATTTATTAGTTCTTCCTAGTAACAGAGAGGAGCCGGAGAACTTTTTTCTTGACTTCAGCTTTGCAAATGTCTTTTTTTTTTGTCTTGGAGTAAAATACTGTTCTGCAGCAGGAGGCATGTGGTCTTCTGGGTCAGCTGAAACCCATTGGCACTTTGTGACTTTTGTGACTTCTTGTTTGGAATATTCCACCAAGATGTCTTTTGAATCCATCTGTGGTGGCTTATTTTGTCTCCGCTGATTGACTTCTCTCTTGCATTCATGACTAGAATCTCAGACAAGTAATTTCGGACCTGTCAAAATTTGTCAGTTATCAAAAGCTGCTGTGATCTACCGTGGCTAAAATAACCAACTCCTACTTGTTAGGAAGCTCATAAATGATTGTTCAGACCTCTGCAGAATGGAGGGTAGATCTCAGCTGGAAGTAGATTGGACACCTATACAAGGTATAATTTGCTTCTTACAATAGTGAATAGTTTCCAATAGTTTCTCGATGGTTTTTAATATAAAAGGAGCTTGAGACTTCATGGTGTTTGGCAAGTGTCCCACCACTCAGTATTGCTTGTACTGAGCATCTCTGTGTACCTGAGAATACTCATAGGTTTCTTAGCTCTGAGGGCTTAACCAGAGCTTGACTGCAATGGTGCAGACAGTGTAAATGTTGTAAATGGAAAGATGTGGACAGAAGTTAGCACATCTGGAAGGACTAGTGGGGAAACTAGGAAACCCAGGAGCAGAACTTGCTTTTAAACAGTTAGGTTCCACTAGAAATATAATTACCAGGAGACTGTCAGTATAAGCTGAAAGAATGGGAGACAGCAATATAGAATTGATCTTTTTGGTTTCGAGGGTTAGAAATTACAGCCTTCAGCAGACAGCACTACGGCAATTTGGACTAACAGGACTCCATGGGGAGAAGAAAAAGCCAAAAGTCTTCTTGGTCTTGATGACTGAAGAGTTCCAGTACTAAAGTTATTTAATTTTTTATGGCATTCTTGTTATTTTGAGATAGCACAGGTATTTCATAACTTCACAGTAAAACAAAAAGGTATTTTGAATTTAACCAAATTGTGGAGAAAAAAAAAAGTATCTGTTTCACTTTGCATAGTCCTTTTCTTGGGATGATCTGATGGACAGTAAAGCCATGTATACAATAGTCAGAGATGTACTTAAGGATACAAGTAAGCCCCTTTTGGATAATACTTCAGAATTAGGGGATTATTTGGATTTTATGCTGGTGACTGCTTCAGATCTTTTAAAGAGACGTGGCATTATTCAAGGAAGTAAGTGAGAAAAGGTACCTTCATCTGATTTTCATCTTAGTCAGTAACAGATCTCCTTTTTTTTCCTTAGTTCCTCTTTCATTGGCATCTCCCACCTTTTGCTCATTTAATACCTTTTTAGAATTACCAAACTTTCAACCTGAGGCAGATAACCAATGTTGAAAATCTCACCACAGACTCTTATTTTAAATGTAAAGAAATTGAAAATAAGGATTTGTAATAAGAGTATATTGTACAGTCTTTACTTCAAGCCTCTTGAACTGTTCAGCCTATAGTGAAACATGTAGAATCCCATATCAGCAGACAGTTCATGCTGAATTAATAGAAATATCTCACTTAGTGAATGCATTTGTTTTTAGTTTTAGAAGAATACTGCTTTGGTTATTCTCATCAGTCCTCTGCATAGGCTTGTTGACAAGGATCATGCTCTGATCATATATAAAAAAAGATAGTTTAAGCTGAAATTCTGTACAGTAATTCCTGTGAACCCTGAATGGGTAAGTGTTTTAACGGAAATGAGTCTGTACAATTTCATTGAAGCCAATAACTTGAAGCAGGACTGAATGTGACTAAGAACTTGCACATGAATTAATATCTCACCATCTAAGACTCCTACAAAGCTTATGCTTTCTGAGGATATTCTGCATTCATAGATTGTTTTTTAATCTCACTTCTAGACTACAAGGTGTTGGATGTAATCAGCATTTGATGTATTTGTACAACACCCACTAACTTCAGGGCATGACAGGAACATCAGTGTGCTACAGAACATACCAAAATGGACTAATAACACAGATTGTTCTTAACTGAGGGAGTAAAAAGGCTTTTTTGAACTGTAGACTAGATTTAAGTTCAGTCTGGGATTTCTAATGAAGTATGTGGTGAACTGCCAAATGAGAAAATCCATTCCAAGATGGAAATAACAGATCCTTACCTTTAAAGTAAAGACAGTTAAGAATCATCATCAGTGCTGTAGGGTTTACATTCACAAGAGCTTCCTTTATTAATCCTTTGGTCAGCTTCAAGATGCGTTCATTGGTTTTAGTTATGAAGTTAGGATCCGAAAAATCAGCTGGTTGGGCATCAGCAAAGTAGTATGTTTTCATATTGTTTCTGAAATCATTCAGAATAGAAAAGTCCTTCTGAATATAAAGGTCATTGACAGACCTCAGTGTATAACCAAAATTGCGCCTAAAGAGCCGATGAGTGAGTTTGCGGAAGAGATTATGAACAGTCATGAGCTCGTACTTGGTGCTGGCGTTAACGAAATCTTGAAAGCCAAGAACAGATAATACTTCCTGGTGAGTTTCACCCTTCAGACCCAGAGAAATCATAGCCATTGCAGTGGAAATGCCAACAGGAGCCATGAGAATATTCTCTGAAGAGTTGGCTTTGTCCGCCACACTGCGGTAAAGGTTGAAGCCAAAGTTTGCATTCAGGATATTGAGGCGCTGGATTCTGGTTTTGCCTTGGAATAATTCAAGAATATTTCCTTGTTGAATTTCAGAAACCATGTATGGGCCAGCATCAATAATATCACTGTAGTCGTCGTCACCCAGTATCTTGTCAAGATCTAGATAGTCCTCTTCCTCCTCCTCTTCAGGAATCAAGTCATTAGTGATAGTGTTTTCTCTGTGGAACTCCGGCGGTAAATCTGGCATATCATACGTCCCATTTTCCTGTGGCTGTGCATCCTTAAGACTTTCAAAATGCTCAGTGAAGTCCTTGACTCCACAAAACGTGGAGGTTATGGTGAGAGCCAGGGCAAGCAGATGAAATAGGAACCTCATTCTGACAGGTCAAAACCTGGAAGGCAACAGAACAGAGTTGAGAGAGCATAGGGTAATTGAATTTTAGTTATCTTTACCCTGATTTTGGGTCCGCGCTGAATTCTGTCACAGCAGAAAGTCTATAGTTACCTTATTCAACAGTTCCCCCCCCGCCATGGAACAGAGCTTAATTAGATGGATAAATCTGTTTTATTGGTAATCAGTTTTGCTTAGATAATGCCTCCAGCCTGACAAAGAATTTGTTGACCTCCTCCCGTATAGGTCATCATTGTTGGTGTATTTCAGCATCCACTAAAGGAGCACACCAGAAGACTGAGAGGTACTTAAGAATTTGAAAAACAGACATTCTGTAGCTACAGCAAAAAATGGGAGTTTTTTCGGAGTATCTTTGAAAGAGCAAAGCTGAGATTTGATGGAATAAAGGCGATACAGGGATTTAGCAACAAACGTAGAGAAAGATGTGCATTTGCACTAAATGTCATTAGTGGGACTGCACTGTTAAAACAAAAATCTTACTCTGATGCTGATTAGAATGTTTTTTAAATTAGCAACTGGTCCAAAGAGCTGTTCTGTAGAAGTAAAATATATAGATATACATACCTGTACGTCTGTGAATAAAACCAGTGCTTGAAGGAAAATATTTTCAAACTTGTTGTAGCAGGACTGAAGTAACTGAACTAATTTTCAAAACTCTCCTCTTGAACTAATTAGCCTGAAATCCTGAAGGCATCTAAGGTGTTTATCCCATACAAAAAATGAATTCTTTTGCAACAACGAATGATCCACAGAAGGTCCTTTTTAAATGATTTTTACACTGTGACTAAACAACTCGAGTCAGTCTTTTTCTTGTGGTTTCTTCATGAATTCGTGACTTTTCTTCCCCACCCCCAGAAGTCAGGCCCTTAGGGCTGAGATACTCAGTCCAGTAACTGTTGATAAATGTCTTCTGCTTTTGGCCTAGAAGAATTTGCTGGCTGTAGTTCCCAAATTTACATTCTGTTCTTCACCGATGTTCAGTTATTGCTTAGCTGCACTTAAACCGACAAAACATTCCCCTACTCTGCAATATATCTATGTCTTTGGTCAGATCTGCCTAAAATAACAGGAGATGTAAATGATGCTTACCTTTAAGCCACTGTATGGAAAGGATGTGTTGAATAGCTCAAGTGAGGGGAATGGCAGGGTTTAAATCTGAACTTTGATGCTAGTTTTTTGTGTATCTCCCAAAGTAAACATTCTCTAAACCAAACACTGCTGAACTTACTTTGTCAGCCAAAATCCCTCCCTTGCCTAGTGATCTCTGCTGAACTGTGTGTTGTTTGTTGAACTACTTTTATGGCTTTGCAGGTACTTGTTCACTTTTGAGGAAGATCTTTGAGCAAAAATTGGGGTGTATGTGAAGTTTCAAAGTCAAGCACGCACATAAACTTGACTGTTAGTGACTAGTAAAAGCCACGTTGCTGCTATTTCGTGCTGAAATGGGGAGCATCTCACTGCGAATACAGCTGAGGGCTCGATGGCTGGGATGGTCAGGCTTCTTCAGTCCACGTTGTATTCGTGCAAAATTTTCTGTTGCACAAGCAACTTTTTACTGTAGTCCCATTCACCAGCTTAAACTCAGGTTAATTTTACTATAATAGAGGAATTTTTTCCTTTTTTTTTTTCTGTAAATGAACAGTCTGCCTCGTGATTGACAAATATATCCAAAGCTGGCTTTGTATAAGGTTTCACTGAAGCACTGCTGGCTTTCATACCTCAAGGGAATTATTGTACAGTTAGAGAAAATTTCTTCAAGCTAGATTAGGATCTAACATTTTCTTAATGAAGTTTACAGTAATGATATGCAGTCATATCGAATAAAACTCGCCGTTTAATGGGCCATTTCTTTCACTTTTTAAACACTGCCTGTGCTCCTAACACTTTTTAGGATAACACACTATGAGCTATGTTATACAAATTTATCTAAAATTGCATATCATGTTGGCTGTAAGTATAAACTGTGCTCCTCCAGTGGTAGCAACTGTTGGTGCAAAAAGTGTCAGAGAATTTTAGTAAATGGGTTGAAAATAATGCTCTTTTACTTGCTTGTTTAGATAGTAAATTCTCCAGAACTGATGTCATGTGTGCGTGGGTGCAAACAATGAAAGATCCCCAATTGGTGCCTCAATGTGTTTCCACAAAGCCAATAAACAATAGCAACCAGAAATATCTTGGACTAATATTTATTTGGTTTTGAGTTCCTTTGCAGTGAAGCAAAGCTGCATGGCATTGTCTTCAACACAGCTTAAAGGACCATGTGGTGTCTTCCTCTCTGCAGTTGATAGTATACTAATATTATGTATTCTCTTAGAGATTACTGTGTCAGTGTGGTATTAATTGCTGTGTAAAACAAGGGAAATTCTTACTTCAGGCATCTCAAATGTTAGCATTTCAGATATTGTAACAAGATCTAATTTTCTTCAGTATAACAATAGCAGCAACATACTAATTTTCGTAGGTGACAAAGAATATTACCTTTGTAAATCATAGTAAAGAAGGTACATGAATTAATTCCTTAGCATGGAATGAAGTTATTGTAACTCTCACCATTTTCTGATGTTAATTTTTCTTTCTTTGATAGCTCACTAGACGCTTGCCACCCATCAAGGAGGCCAAGCCCAGGTTGCAAAAGCTGTTCCGTGACTTCTGGTTGTATTCAGTGCTGATGGGATTTGCTGTGGAAGGATCAGGTAGAGTAAATTCTAAGAGAGCAGTATTGCTGCTCGCATTTAAACTCTTGATGAATCTAAATGTAAGTGCCAGCTGTTCACAGTAGGCTGAAGAAAAGTTACAGGCATAAAGATATTAAAAAGCCAACAGCTTACACGACAGCTCTCTGATAGGATTTCTTTACATCTTTGATCTGTTTTGCTAGGAGATTGAGCACAGTACAACTTGTTCTTGTACTTAGGTTTTCTTTTTCTAAGCTAATACAGCAGTTAGCCTTAGTTAAGTATGAGTTTTGATAGCTAAGTTCCTGAAATGGAAGATCAGACGTGTAGTACAATGGTAGTCAGGTAGAACTTCTTATCTATTGAGAAACTTCACTTGGAATTACCTGAGCATGTTTATTATGTTTGGAACCTGGATCACTTCTGTTGAGTGTTTGTGCTTAAATGCATGAAAAATTGGCCCTAGGAAGTAGTACAAAGCTTGATAATGCCTGTTAACTTTGTGAATCTCGACATTGTTTTTCTCCCCCACCCTGCCTTCCTATTTTTACTTGTGCTTCAGGTCTCTGGCCAGAAGAATGGTATGAGGGTGTATGTGAAATTGCCACCAAGTCTCCATTACTCACATTTCCCAGCAAAGAACCACTTCGATCTGTTCTTCAGTACAATTCTGCTATGAAGAATGATACCGTGACTTCTGTAAGAATTAATTTCTTCTATTATCTCCTTCCACATAATGTCGGACACTATTAAATGATATAGTAACCGTGATATATTGAAATAGCACAATATCTATTCAACCTGCCTCTTATTAGTGAAAAACAGCTGTTTTAAGTACACTGCTGTTGTAAGAGTAATGTAAATAGCTTGGGTTTAGTTTTATTGTACGTTAATACAAGTGTTTAGGGTGGCAGCTACACTGTTTTGATTATGTGTGGAAACCAAGTCTTTGTGGAGGTGGAAGCCTTTTAATAGTTTTTCATCCATTTTGTATCAGACAGACAAAGCCTGCGCTGTTAAAAACAAACAAACAACAATAAACTTTGGAAGGAAACAACACGTTTGGTCTTTCAAAGAAATACTGAGTGAGGTTTTCCCCTTTTCATCCTCTGGCTTGATACTGATGTAGTTCTCTCTCCCTGGTGTTTGCAGGATAGATTTTGCCTGAGGACTATTTGTGGTAGCAGTATAAAGTGGAGATGTTGCAGCTTATGAAATGTCTTTGTCTGGCTCCCAAGTAATACAGAAATCTGCATTGTGCCTAGGTATTTAATGCTGTGACATCAAAAATTGGCAGAACAGACCCGTGAAGTTTCAGAAGCTGGACGAGGTTGATGTTGATCAAAATTACATGTATTTAGTGTAGGAGTCGTATTTCTTAATTGGTAGAACTGCATGGAAATGAGCAGTTATTTCAGCAGGGAGCTGGACTCCAATATTGCATTCTCTTTAATTCTGTATCTGAAGAATCGTGACTTGTGGAGTCAAAGCAGGTTGGTCTTAGTCTGCAGACAGAAGCATTCTGGCGTATTGTTTGTGAAGGTTAAAAAGTAAAAAGAGCAATAATTGAAGGCTAATGTTTTCAGAACACAAACTAATACAGTACTTCCACTTCAGATAACTTCATGTATTCATCTCTAGGCTGAATTAAATGAATTGCGGAGTACCATAATAAATCTCTTGGATCCTCCTCCAGAAGTGTCAGCATTGATCAATAAATTGGACTTTGCCATGTCTACCTATCTCCTTTCTGTTTACCGCCTAGAGTATATGAGGTATATATATTTAGTTATTTTCTCTGATCAATTAAAAAAAAAAAAAATTTAAAACTGTGTATGTTCCAGGTCAAAATTGCCAGACACTAAGATAAATGAGAATCAGTATTTTGAGTCACGTTAGCTCTATTGAAGATTCCGAGACTGGGAATTCATCTGTGCAAAAATGCCTTTAGAGTGGATAAAAAGGGTGGAGTAATATAGTAGGGCCCAAAAAGTGGGATCTCCTTTGTATAAAAACTGATAAAAGATGGACAAAAGGGTGCTTTAAAGGAATGTCTTGCAAGCAGAGTGTTGTGCTTGCGCCTCTGAAGGACAGTGTAAACACTCGCCTGTTCAGCGAGATCAGTGTAATCTGGGAGCTGAGAAAATTTCTTCGTAGTGTACTTTTTTTCCCCTCAGGAGTGTGTATGGTTGTACTAATCAAACATACTGAATTCACAGACTTTTTTTTGTTTTCTTTAAAAGTCTGTTTAAAGAAGTAGGCAGCTGAAAGCTGAGGTGGAAGTCTAGCAGTGAGGAAAGTAGAAAGAAACTTCTCCATCACGTTTTACTGTGACAGTAACTGACAACAGGGAAAACCATTCCCAGAAACGTCTTGGTTGTATTTTAGAAACAATTTTTTTATAAGTGGTATTTCCATCATATGCAAATTCAACAGATGCAAAGCCTGTAGAAATACCAAAGACTGTACCATGTTTATATGTTTGTGGTGATTGTGTAAGTGCATCATCATCAGGTTTCCCACTCCTGAGGTGTGAAGCTTACCCTCTCAGTGACAAACCAGCTTTTTATGATCTGAGCCTTGTTAGTTGAATGTAGAAACAAATAGCAATATCACAGTTACTTGTGTGTAGATTTAAAATTATCATGAAATGAACAATTGCCGTATGTGTGTGGTTTGTACTGTGTCATTAAAATAAGTAGGTTTCTGTTGAAGTTTTTTTAAAGAAAAAAAAGTACTAAAACAAAAAGCCAAAACCACTCAAACCGTGAAACTCTGCTTTTCCTAGGGTGTTGCGTTCAACTGACCAAGATCGCTTCCAGGTTATGTTTTGCTATTTTGAGGATAAAGCAATTCAAAAAGACAAATCTGGTAAGATTACTTGTCTAGGTTATTTTGCAACTTGAGATAGTAGGAGGTTATCCCCAGGCATGCAAAACTAAAACAAGTCAAGCAACTGTAGAACGACATGAATCACATTCACTAGATCGCTGTTGCTTTATTCTGGCCAAGAAGACTGGTTTTGTTTTGAAAAGGCTTGGTTCAATGTTGTCTGAGTAAGCAAAAACACTTTTTAACTGTTAAGCATGGTTTATAAAGCAAATGTAATTCTGATAATCAAACCTGTCACCTCTCTCAATTCCTCAGGCATGATGCAGTGTGTGATAGCTGTTGCTGATAAGGTGTTTGAAGCTTTCCTGACAATGATGGCTGATAAAGTAGGTTACGTGGAAACTAAAGTTTAAATTTGCATATATGCTCTTATTTCAGTTTATCAAAGTGAGCTTGTGTGTTTTCTTAAGAGCCTCATACTTCTCTTTGGCCTGCTTTTTAGCCTAAAACTAAGGAGAACGAAGAAGAGTTGGAGAGACATGCTCAGTTCTTGCTGGTGAATTTTAACCACATTCACAAGAGAATCAGGAGAGTTGCAGACAAATACTTATCTGGTCTGGTAGACAAGT